ACAAAAGGGTTCAATGCGGGACGTGGAATGCGTGCACGTGCGCGCACGTGCAATGCTTGTTTTTGATTGACTTACTAAAAACAATACCTAATTAGTTCAACAAATGGCACGTTGACAGCAAAAACTTGTTTTCGACGGAAAGAAAGTCAGAACGGAACGAAGAGAGTCTGTCAGGTAAGCTTATGGTCAGTGTCGCTGTTGTATCAATGCATTCGCCCTTGAGTCGTTTACTGATAGTGAGTGTTTTTGAAAATCCTGGCTACGGACGGGATTTACACATGCCAATTAACGTGTCAAGCTGTGAAAGTTTCTCTCCTGAAATATGGGAAATCTTGACAACTTTTGCCTTTTCAATCAACCACTTGACAATTTTCGTTTGCAGCTGCAAGTTTTCGTGGCCTTGAAAGTTTTTCTTGCCTGAAAACTTTGTCAAGTTTTTTCCGTTTACACGAAAAAATTCCCTGTCCCCGATCAAGAATGGAGATGTTCATGTAGGCGATTACCTTTTTAAAAGCTTCGGTAAACTTTTGAAAAGTCCGTTTTGATGGGGTCATTGCGTTTGTGCCAAGGGCTCCCTAGGTTGTGCGCATGGAAAAGACCACAGTATTAAAAATAAGCATGCTTCCATTTTGCCAGACAAATGATGCTTATGTAACTGACTGACCGTGCGGCTTAATAATTCCGGCGAAGTCAGCTCGTGCGAAGTGATAGCGATACTGGTGAAATTTCTCACTGACACATGCACAGTATTGAGATGTTCTCACCGTTACAAGAAAAACGAGTGTACAAAAAAAAGCGCGATGACATCTCCTTTTCACCCTTCCTTCTTGTTTCATTTTGTTTTTGTTTCTTTTTTTTGTTGTTGTTGGTTTCCGATATTAATTCTTCGCATGCGTTGTACCCTAACCTTCACTTTTTAACCAGCCATTTTCTCCTTTCCCCAGTCCGCAAATCCACCGTCCCCAGTTCCAATATCCTTTAATCATGAACCCGAAAACAGTTGCAAATTTTCGAAAATTTTGGAACCCCCTTACCTAAAATTCCTGGATCCGTCCCAGATTGATTTGCCTAACGCTTGGTGGCTATTGGCATTTTTCAGCACGTTTTCTTTTGAAATTTTGAAAAATTAACGTTCAAATTCCCCATTGCCTATACCCCAAAGGCCGCTTACAAATGCCCCATCATCGGTTCATTTTAGATGATCAAATGCCCCCAGGCCAGGGAAATTTAAAGGAGACCATATTACTCTTTTTAACTATCAATGCGCGGCTTTCTAGTGCTCTTCAAGCGGATTTTGCAGACAGAGCATAGCAGGGTGGATAAAGGTTGGAGCAAGGCTTTTATAATCCGTTGCTTTTTTTTTTGGCTAATCCGCCTAAAAGCCGCTATCGTTTCCCTTTAACACATCCAAACTCGCCAAGTATCTGGTCTTGTTTTGGCAATCACTTCTTTCGAATTAAAATGTTTTTTTTTTACCGCACAGCTTGAGCTTAGGTTTAATATCCAGAATCAGATGTAAAACGCCCAACAGACTTATCAGTAAGATGTAATTTTGTTGTTTAGAAGTTATTTCTTTACTAACGTTAACCTTCATAGTGAGTAATTTGTTATTAGGAAAACTAAACAAAATGGACTTAACTTCGGTAACACACAGTTCCTTCAAATATGTTTGAATGATGGTGCCCTTGTAGGGGGTGGGGTGGGGGGTGACTCCCTATAATGGCCTGTAGGGGTTGGCTCCGTCCGAAAGGGCTACCTTTTTCAGGCTTCAGGTATATGAAAGGGTAAGGGTCTCACTAGTTGAAGTTTAAAAAAGGGTATAAGACCTTTCATTTCGGTCTGTAAAAGGAGCAAAAAGGGCTACCAGACAAATTTTATGGATGTGAAAGAGACAAAAAACTTTCTGGTTTAATGATTTATTCAAATTGAAAAGATGGAGCATTTAAAGCAGTTAAAAGGGATGCAGTGTCCTAAACAAAGTATATGAAAGGGGTACCATTTGTCAATAGAAGGTATACGAAAGGGGTACCTCTTTGGTCAAAACGGTATAAAAGGGTAAGGGGTTGGAGCCCGGGTGGAGACTCCCCCTATAAAGCTTTCATTGGTGAGTACCCCCAGGGGGACAGTGCTGGTCACATGAGCTGGACAACACCAGACCATGAAATAGGCCTCTGTAAAAGAATATTCAGTTGATTAAAGATTAGTTTATTTCTAGTTACTCAGGGCAAAAACTGTCAAGTTCATCACAGTTGTTTAAACATACTTATCACAATACCACAGTTGTATTACTAAGTTGGCACAAAAGAGCGAATTACAGGTACATCAACTACTTTTGCTTTTGCCTCTTTTCATGAGCTGCACGGTGCACTATCTGAGCATTTTTTTGCATGGCTACAGCCTCTCAAGCCTAGACTTGCATCATTATTCCTACAAAATAACCTCAAGCTAAAAATAGGCTTCAGTTCTTTTTGGTTTAAACTTGGCACAAGCTTAACTGTAACTTTCTTAAGGTGCTCAAAGATAACGACAGGTAGGGAAATTACAAAATGTCTGACTGACAAAGCAAAACTTTCCAGTATGACCTACCACTACCACCTAAACACAGCTTTAAGACAACATTATTGAAAACAATCTTCCTTTCAGCGTTTCTGTGAAACCTCCTTTTTATAATACAAAAATATATAAAGAAACTAATGGCAGAGATCAGCACAAATGACAAACCAAGATTGCTTTCTACATGTTTCGCAAAATTTTTTTAATAATATTGTACTCTTATTTAAAAACCAGTTAGTTCAAGCTGTCAGGTGCATTGCTTGGAGAAGGCCTTCATTCTTGATACAAGCATAGGTAGCCAAACAAATCTTTGACTTCTTTTTAATATTCATCCTGTTCATCACCATAGTCTTGTTCATATTCCCCATTATTACCAACTTCCTCTGGTGCAGCAAATCCCTCCTAGGGTAAAAAACACAGCCTTATGGTGATCAAGATCCTATTTCTCTTTTAATCATAACTATACAAAATTCTCAAATCTGATTGGCTATGAGCTTCCCTGATTTCTGCATTAATAGGGCAGAAATAGGACAGTACATGTCATGCCTAATTAACTGGCCAGTACACACCATCACTAGTGTACACTTGAATGGGTTTTCTTTTTTCACTTCTAGCAAAAAAGCTCTCAGAATATGTTGTGTTGTAATTTTTAACAAAGCTTAAAATACCGCAAATTTTGTTACAGTTGGGACAAATTGGTAACAGAACTTCATGGCCGTCCAATTCGGTATGAAATACTATGAACAATAAGCCAGAAAAATAGAAACCGAGAAATATTTGAAAGGAACGATTATAGCTGGCATGTTTAAGTGTTTTAAAAACAATATTTATTGCAGTCTTCTATGAAAAAGCAACAAGAAATGGCAGCATAACCATCCTTCAGTAACTATAAAATGCTGCTTTGACATTTTTTTACTTAAAAAATATTATATGCTAAGAGCACCATTTCAGTAAAATATGTAAATAACACAAGGAGAGGTGGATAAAAAGACAAGGAGTGGAACCATGACTAAAAAATCTCTAAACCCTCCTTCTGCCTGAAGAGACATCTGTTTCATTTACTGGTATTTATTTATTCTAGTACCTATGAGCTAAACGCATTCAAATCAGTGAACATATTTGGGTTTCATAAGTGCCATTTTTTTTGGCTCAAAAAACAATACGTAATAATCGGTGGATATCGCCACCTAATGTCAGATACCTCCACTTCAAAAAAATTTTTTGGGGCTCAAAAAACAACACATAATAATCAGTGGATATTGCCACCTAATGTCAGATACCTCCACTTCCAACTGCATTAAATGAAAACCAGCCACTGCCTACCTCATATTAGACCCATAATGGAGTTCCAAGGATATAATATTATTATATAATTATTAATATCAAACGAGTCAAAAGAAGAAACTTTGCAGTTTACAGGGAAGTCAGCAAGGGCTTTATTTTAAGACTGCTTCAGTTGACCCACCTCAGTAGCATAAAGAGCGTCCATAATCTTTTTAACGACGGGCAAGTCTGCACATCCTTCATCTTGGCACTGCACTTCAATATCCCGTAATTTACCAAAGTAGAAATCTCTCTCTCTTTCTAATCCATCCACTGTCAACTGCAGTTCTGTCAGCTGCAGAAAAAGAAAAAGCAAATCGGTGGAATTAGCTCTTAAGTCACTCTTGTTGCGATACCACTAGTTACATCTAAGCATGGACATGAGACATAAAAAACATGTTTTTATAGGGTGTCAAAAATGGCAACAACCACAGTGGGGTTGCATGATCAACAAGTGAAGACTCAAGTTACTTTATTAAAAAGCAACTCAACAAACCTTATCGTTTAATTCTTGTATTTGAGCATCCTTTTGCATCAGTGCAGCTGACGCTCCTGCGGTCCCTCCAGTGGAGCGTGCTGGTTGCTGCCCTGGTCGACTTATCCCTTGGGACCTTTGTGCTCCACCACCAATCCTTCCGGCCCCACCTGCAGCAGGTCTTGTGGATGTAGCCACTCTTGACGGAGTAGGATTTTGTCCTGTATAGAAAAAGAGCAAAGAAAGTAAAGTGTTGCACTTTCTATAGCTTGGAAAGAACCTCCATGATTTATTAATATTACTGTAATCAGGGGTTTTAATAAAATTTGAAGTAGATATAGAGTAGAGTATCCCACTGTATAAACAAGGTTGGAAAGAATCTTTCTTTGATAACTTCATGAAAGGGTAAAAAAGTAGCCAACTTCTCTGAAAGGAAAAGCTCATACTCTTCTCCTGCCATAAGTACTTATTAAAAACACTGCACCATTCACTGCAAGGACACACTAAAATTCTTTGAAAACTGCTGGTGCTTGCAAGTCTTTCCCCACGGATGTATTGCGGTAGAAGGTCCACATCAGCTGACAAGCTGCCTTATATACAACTAATTGCTTCATCCAATAATGATGATGATGATGATGATGATCTGACACCAACTGTCCCAGTGTTAAAGCTTACCCATGGCTGGTCTGCTGAGCTGTCCAGATCCTTTTCTTGGTGCCACATTCATGGGGGTATCAGTTTTCCCATGCCGTGCTTTTACAGGATCATAGTCAGGATCAGGACCTTGATAGTTGGCATCAAAGAACTTTTTGAACCACTGCACAAATTCAAAGTTATCCTGAAATTTCCCTTTGACTAACTTTTCAACTGGAACCATCTAAAACAGTAAAAAGGAAAGGGAAAGCCAAAATTAAGCGTATATGCTGTCCAATTTTAACTCACTGTGGAGGAAACATTACTCATTTATTTATTATCGTCGCTCATGTCACAACTGAGCTTTTATAATGCAGGGTTTTCATTATGTACCGTAGATGGGAGAATTCTCCGTTTACTACACAGAATTCTCCAGCTAACGTTTGGTAGCCTATGACTGTACAAATCCAGTGAAGAAGTTATTTCTTGTTAGGGAGTGGCCATGATTTAGAGCACCAGGGAGGGGTGGACCACTTTTAACCCTTTCACAGGCTTTAGCAGATAGTAACTTTATGTGACCCCTCCTTGAACTGGTTTAAAAATTCATTTGGTCTAATATCCCCAGACGAACCTAACATGGGAAAAAGTCATGAGACATCCCAAATTTCCTAGTGGAAGGTCTTTCAGGAGGGATTACGGGTCTTGGAAGTCACGTCTCATTTGAAAGCTGATTAATAATTTTTTGTCGCTGCTGACATGCATGCATTTTAATGGCAGCCACCTTGAAACTGAAATGAGACATTTAAGTTTATTTCGACAGTGAGTCTGCGTATTTGGTGGCAGCAGCAAGTTGAGGTAGGCTGAATAATGTAAACAATGCACCAAGCTGGCATTTCACTCACATTTACTTTCTCAAATGCAACTACTAGGCATTTTTTTTAGTGTGAATTTGCTGTTTTTGCAATCTATTACTTGGACAAAAACCCAAAGAAGCTCAAAAAAAAATTTTGAAGCATCTGACGGGTGCATCAATGATTATTCTTTAAAAGTGAAAAATGTAGAACATGGATCCTTACCTTATCCACTCCAGCAGCCTTAAATGCTTTCTGTAAGATCTTCCAGTTTTGTATGTACTCATGCTCTTGATTAGAAGCAAACTTGACTTTGCCCATATTAACACAATCTTTCAAAAAAAAGGGGAAAAGTCACGTCTATAATAATAGGGAAGCTCAAGAATTTAACTGATTTGTTATTGTGGATAATCATGTTTGTCAAAGATTTTTTTTGCTTTGTACTAACTAGTATACTCCATTCCCTTGCGCAACTTGTGACTTTTTAAATTTAGATTCGCGAAGTTTGGACTTTTGAGCCTGTAAATTTATCCCAAAGTTGAAAGGAAAAAATTCAGCAAATTGCTTCTGTAAGCTTGTGTTTTTTTAGCATTTAGAAAATGAGATGGAGAAATGAAATTGGTATATCACGATCGTACCCTAAATAATTTAAGCCTAAGCTGAAGCTTATTTTTTCAAGAGAACACTTACCCATAAACAGCATATCCATGAACTGGCAATAAGCAGCACCTGTTAAACGAAAACAGACTCTTTCTGTTTCATGTGTCAAAAACGATGCAGCAATGATTGCAAAATATCAGACTACTCAAATCGATCGAACGTTAGAGGAGTATTGTACAATGAATCGCCTAAATGTACACGAGAACACTAACCAGAACAGAGCTGCTCAATTTTAGTGTATTTAAGCTGTAAACTATTGTTGATCCATTCTAACATATCATGACGGCTGAGGTTTTCTGAAGTAACACTAGTGCTGAACACGTTGACGGCCGCCATTTTTCTTCAACAGATGAAAATGGACGGCTTTCGGCATAAGAAACAGAGCCCAGTCTCTTGAAAAGGATATTCCATGACAAATACATGACAAAAAGCAATTCACACGAAAACGAGGCCGGATGGGTGGAGCACAAAAGGAATGGGGCCAATCTCTGAACAGAGACCCGCTGAGTGAGAAAGGGTGTGGACAGAACTGTGTGGAGAATGGAAAATGCAGAGTGTAGAGTGTAAACTAGAAAGAAGGCTTGTGTGTGCTTTTCTGATATGCGTTGTGACTTCTCGGGTTAATGACTTGAAATATAATATAATAAATATAATATAATAATAATATAATATTATTATTATTATTTAAAATATGTGCTGATTTTGTTGTTGTTTTGCTTTCTGTTACATAGCTAAGTTGTTTTACTATAGTATGTACCTTTGTTTTATTATATTAACTGTACGCTTTTTTCTCTAGTTTAAAAAATTCATGATTTTAAAAAATGTTCGTTTTTGATAGTAGGCGATGCACTCTTTCAGAGTTGATATTAACGCAATCTGATTTATTTAGTTATATAACTCGTCCCTCCCATTGACTTCCAACAATCAATAATCGCTCCATGTTTTCTCTTCTTGAGCGTTTAATCCCAGTTGTTCAGGATGGACTTGCGAGATGTTTCTTTTTTTTTTTTTTCATTGCAAAATAAATCGAACGTCTTGAAGAGGGTCTACATAACCACCGGGAACACAATAGTTCCAGCGTAACTCTTGTGGTTTAGTGCCATTAGGGGAGGTACGTCCATAATTGGGGTGGGTGGGCCCGGGCTTCGCAGGGGAGGGTCGCCAGTAAATTTTTTTCAAATTGGGGAGGGCCAAGCCTATTTTGTTCGCAGCCACTGGAGGGTCACACGTTTTTCGGCAAGCTTCCTTTAAAGTCGACTCTTTTTTAATGTTTGTTAGTAAACATGCAAAGTCTTTGGCACGGATTAAAACTTTACGTACAAAAAAAGCTACCCGTCAAGATCAATCCAAATAATTTGCGAAGATACTGTCCTCTCCCAACTAACATAATCGTCTCTCTCAACCCGTGCCCACTCTTGTCCATATTTTGACGGCGGTAATGTTTCCACACAAAGGTTCTGGTATAAAATTAGTCTCCGGTGACGATTCGTCTTAGCTACTTGAGCTTAAACCGACAACTCGATCCACCGTGTAACTTTGAGACTCAGTTGCAACATCGGAAAGTGATAAGGTCACTTTTTGTTTCACATTTCTTGACAGGGGCTGCTAAGGTAGCCTGAGTATCAGGCGTTTCTGGGGGAAAAGGGGAAAGAAGGAAGCGAAAGAGGGAGAGAGCTAAAATCTCCTCTCCCGGAAGGCCTGCTACTCAGGCTACTGCCAAGGTTGTTGACGCTCCATAGCATTGTAAAGCAACCTGCCATTTCATGCTTTGATCACTGTGCCTTTTCAGCTTTCTTTCGTTCAACGGTGATCTTGTTGAGGGAAAAGTACAATGATAGGACTCTTATTATAAGGTTCGCTGGGGGAACAATTTTTGGGGGTACCAGGGGGCACAGGGGGGAAGGGGCAGGGAGGTTCAGGGCGGAAAAACGTAATGAGCATGCGTGAATTTTTTTGCCCAGATCCCCTGGCCGGGTTTGAAAAAATGGCGGGATTTCAAATATTTTATTGCCTAAAAATAAAATGTTTCCACTCATAACCTGGAAAGAACAGGCAATTTGTCTTCAAAAGTTGCAAGCTGTGGTTATAACCTTGTCGTTACTTAATTTTCTCGAAGGATACGTCATAGTAAAACGGACTTTAACGACATTACTTTGCTTACGTTGTACTGGAAATGTGCATGCTCAGGTCCGATTTTTTTCAAGATGCATTCACAAAATGTGTTCATATAAGGAAGTTCCTGGATATATAAGGTCCGGAGCTCCACTGCGGACACAAAAACAACATATCTTTGGACAGTGATTTGCCCAAAAAAATTAACGCTTGCCCACAATGTGTTTGAAGTCACTGAACTTTGTCGCACCCGAGCTGATATTTTAAAACCCTCACTCGATCGGACACTCGTAGTTTCGCAGATCACTTAAATATAAACAAAATCCCCAATGTAGAAGTTATTGCGTTGATATGTGGGCAGAAAAAAGGTCAATCTTTATC